GTGCCATGAGCTCTGGTGGCTTTGACCAATTAGGCCTAGAATTGTATCCATATTCTCTTATGGCATTAGCGAAATTCCATCCCGATCGGTATTCTAGAGACCTCATGGGGCTCCTCTCTAGACTCCACATTTCAAGCACAGACTCAATAGTAAACTTCGTTGTCTCCCAATGTGTAGCAAACAACAATGGAGGCTGCCCAAGAAATGCATCATAATTGCATTTTTTTGTTTTAACCCTCAACCAAGTACATAACGGTTGGGATTGTGTCTTATTTTTTTACAACCGCTAGATTAATTTTAATATAACTGTTGGTGTGGTTCCTCTTTAGGTTAAAGAGGTTTTACATATAAAAACTTTCTTTTGTATGTAGGGTCAATGGCTGTTTGGGAGAAAAAGGTGTGAGAGAAAAATACAGAGTTCTCTTGGTGCGAGAGTGAGTTTTTTCTCTTGTTTTTGTTCTTCGGATTGAGAGGAAAGGGAGAACGGATGTACAAGGGTTAAGGGTTGGTTTGAGCTACAAGTCGTAAGGTACTTGTATTGTTCTTAGTTTTCTTTCATAGTGAAGAACATATTTTGTCTCTCCCATGGACGTATGTGGTAAGGCTGAACCATGTAAACATTTGTGTTCTTTGTGACACATGCATTTATTTGTCTTTTCTTTGATTTTATCATTCTTGTCTCTATTAGATTTCCCATGGTTGCTATTTCAAATACCTTCTGATTTTATACTGTGGGTGGTTGTTGTGAGGCCCCAACAAAGTGGTATCAGAGCTCCCAGGTTAGTGTTTACAAGGTGTTTGTAAAATTTCTTAAGAGATAATGACAGCAAAAGGCATAGGTTTTCAGTTTCAGATTGAGAGGTTTGATGGCAAAGGTAGTTTTACCCTACGACAGAGAAAGGTAAAGGACATCCTGGTTCAACAAGGCTTGGCTAGAGCATTGAAGGGAAATGATGGGAAGCCAGAAGACATGAAGGATGCTGATTGGAAGGATATCGAGTCAAGGTGTGTCAGTATGATTTGATTGCTCCTAACTAATAATGTTATGTTTAACGTTATGGAGGAAGATTCTGCACTGGAATTGTGGGATAAGTTGGATAAGCTTTATTTGGGAAAAAAAACTTAACTACAAAGCTATATCTGAAGTGGTAGTTGTACGAGTTGAAGATGGAAGAAGGTGAGATTATCCTATAACACCTAAATGTGTTCAACAATATCTTGGATCAACTAGGGAAAGTTGATGTCAATGTAGAGGAAGAAGAAATGGGCATTTTGCTTCTTACCTCACTTCCTGATTCGTATGAAAACTTGGTAACAACATTGTTGTACAGGAAATATACAATGAAGCTGGAGGAAGTTACTGCATCTCTTATAGCCAATGAGGTTATGAAGAAGCCCAAGTATGAGAGCCGGCAAGACTTTGCGTTGGTCACGGTGGGAACGGATAAAAAAGGAAGGTCGTCTAACAGAGGATCTGAGAGCAGTAGGTCTAAATCCAATGTTAGGGGAAGTGTAAAGTACAGTGTTATAGATGCAAGGAATTTGGTCACATGAAGAGAGATTGTCTTGCATGAAAAATGAGTGGGGATGAATTTGGAAGCATGGCAATTGCATCTGATGATGATAGAGACGTTCTCACAGTCTCCGAAGGTATATGCAAATTTTCTCCAAATGAGTGGGTTTTAGATTTTGGATGTTTTATGCATATTTGCTCCAGGAAGGAATATTTTGACACATCCCAAGAGAGGAAGATAGGTGTTGTCTCATTGGATGATGGATCTACATGTAACATCACGGGTGTTGGGACAAAAAAAATCAAAATGTTTGATAGAGTAGTTCGCACTTTGGGTGGTGTGGCGTATGTCAAAAAATGTGCATGAATCTAATATCACTTAGCTGGTTAGACTCCAAGGGATGCAAGATTTTTGCTGTAGGTAGAGTCATGAAAATCACACGTGGAGGTATGGTCCTGATGAAGGGAGAAAAATGCAAGGATTTGTACCATTTGGTTGGGAGTACTATGGTTCCCAAGACATCGGCAAAATGTTGGAAACGGAATGCACAAGGTAGTGTGGCCACATGAAGGGTCTATTTTGCGGATAGAGTGAGACAAGTGCTACAAGTTTCCAAGGTACAGATGATGGTGAGATGAAGACTCCTGTTGGAAGAGATGAATGATCGATGTCCCTCTCTTAAATTAATTAGGATTGTTAACTTGGGTACAATTACACAGGTACATTGGTCATCTTGTTTGAATCAGGTGGAGTCAGGCCCGAATTATTCAAGTTATGTGTAGATGGTGATGCTTTAAGGCCAATGGAAGTTTGCGGTATTTGCAAACAGATGGAGGAATAAATAGTATATCTCTAAGGTGGTTAAAAAATAAGCCAAAGTGGAGATTGTTGGGATTGTGTCTTATTTTTTACAGCTGTTGGATTAATTTTAATTTAACAGTTGGTGTGGTTCATCTTTAGGTTAAAGAGGTTTTACATATAAAAACTTTCTTTTGTATGTAAGGTTAAGGCTTTTTGGGAGAAAAAGATGCGAGAGAAAAATGCAGAATGCTCTTGGTGTAAGAATGAGTTTTTTCTCTTATTTTTGTTATTCAAGTTGAGAGAAAAGGGAAAACGGGTGTACAAGGGTTAATGGTTGGTTTGGGCTACAAGCCGCAAAGTACTTGTATTGTTCTCATTTTCTTTCATAGTGAAGTACAAATTTCGTCTCTCCCGTGGACGTAGGTGATAAGGCCAAACCATGTAAATCTTTGTGTTATTTGTGGCGCATGCTTTTATTTGTGTTTGTTTTGATTTTATCATTTTCGCTTCTATTAGATTTCTCATGGTTGCTATTTCAAATACCTTGTGATTTTATAATGTGGGTGGTTGTTGTGAGGCCCCAACATAAAACCTATTAATCCAATTACAAAGCACTCTCATGCACGGACGTTGCCCATATCCTTTATGCGCTTGAATTGCTATAGAGTCTCAAGGTTGTGACAATCGGCGGGGATGACGATGTTCCTCACCAAGAATTGCTTTATTTATGCCTGGATTGCTGCAAAGGCTCAAGGTTGTGACGATTGGTGGGAACAACGATGTTCTCACAAGGAATTGCTTGATTGCCATTGGAATCACTCAAGGTTGCTGCAATATTGTCTCTACCATTCTTGTTTTGATGTGACCAAGAGAAAGAGTGGATCCTCTACTTTTAGTGACTCTGGTCGCAGACTTTGGTTGGTTTAATAGTGGAATTGGATGCAGACCCCTATCTATCCATTCCAGAGTCTGAGAAGGGGCCCTGTTTTTTCTAGATTGGAGGCTCTGGACCCTCTGGTAGTAGAGGCAGTTGTGGCCATGTCGAGTCGACAATTGAGGCACTGAGAGTCTGACAAGGAGCCCTGTTTTCCATATTGGAGGCTTTGGTAGTAGAAACGGTTGTGGCCATGTCGAACTCAGTAACTGAGGCACCAAAATGAACTGCCTCTCATTTGGTGGGTTCAGAACAACCGTCGACACCGACATTTTCCCTTTTCTTATGGTTCATCCTCACCACGTTGTTTTGCGCCATACGTGGATAGAGAAACAAATCAGTTGTAGAGGATTGTTCATGAAGCTCATCGGTTGCAGAAAAGCTAATCGTTTCTCTATGCCAAGCACTTTCTTCATCGCCTCTGCATCGAAACAAATTGTTGTGCCGACCATAATGTCTAGTCAGATCCACCTCCACAAACGAGAACTCAGGAAGGTTTCTGAAGATTGTGAGGTGGTGGACGATGGATGTAGGGACGACTGTAGCGAGATACAACAAATGCACAACATAGAGAACTTAAGAAGGTTTTTGAAAATTTTCATCAATTGGGGTTTATTTTGAAAATTTGAGGAATAATAGAGGGCATATTCGATATTATGTTTTTCATTAGTGTTTAATGAGATGCCAATTGCCGGTAGGAGTGTTTTAAAATAATATGTAGACACTAAAGATAAAATTAGTCAATTAGCTAAAACATAAGAGTAGTTTAAGAAATTTTCCCAAGGATAAACTACTGAAAGCTTCTCTAAAGTTTTTGACTGTTGTTGAAACTTCCTATAAAGTTTGTTAGTTGCAATTTCCTCCACATAACTTTTTATATAGTTCCAAGTGGATCCCCTCCATTAGAATACTCTAATAAGAGATACAAAAATGTCTAAAAGGTTGATTTCTACATAAAAAAAAACGATAGTTACCTTTAGTGATTGATATGAAGGGCAAATTTGAAAATAGATCAATTTCAAAAAAGAGAATGGAGAGGCTTTGGGTAGTAATTGATAATGAAGAAAAAATTTGGAAAATAAATATTTTGGTCAAATGTAACTACATGGGTATTTTGGACATTTTCATGCCTTTTCTTAGAGTATTATAATAAAGTGGGTCTAATTGCATCTATGTTAGAAAATTTAGGGGAGGTGATACAATTACCAAACTTCAAGGGAGATTTTAACAACTACCAAAAACTTCAAGGGAGGTTTCAACAACTTACCCAAGGAGAAAAGATGAACTATTACTAAGAAAAAATGTAATTTGGGTTAGGGGTGAACAAGAAAAACCGAAAAAGCCGAACTGAATCGACAAGACTGAACCAAAAATTCCAGTTAACAGAAACTATTGGTTTGGTATTTTGGAAAAACCAAAGTTACTAATTTGGTTTTAACTAATATATATACTTATGTATTATATATATTTTCACATATATATTATATATGTATTATAAATGAACATATATGTATTATATATTATAAATGAATATATCCAACTGTGCTTAGGGAAAAACCTGAACCGTCATTCTCCCTTTAAATAACTCCCAAGTTCCAACAATGGATGGTAATCTTTTTCGAATTAATTGACGGAACGCTAACGGAGGTGTCTTTGTCTCACAGCTAAAATCCAGGGGGTATTTGTCAGAAATTATTGCGGTGGTCTTTGTAATTGACACAAAAATTTCGTCACGCTGCTTACAAAACATCTTCTTAAACCCCTCGTTTGGTTTGGAAAACCCTAGTAAGCTCTTCATTCTCTCGTCGTGGTCGTCCAGCAATCAGCAATGGCTCTATCGTCCCTCCGTCTTCGTCGATCATTATCCCTCTCATCGTCTCTTTTCAGGCACCATCGCTTCTTCTCTGCAACATCTTCTGCTTCTTCTTCCTTTTCTGTTTTAGATCGTCCAATTTCCTCGGCATCCTTAATTACAAATATTCTTCAAAACCCTAGCCCTCGATTCCCTTCAAATCCTTTCCGGATTCAATCTCTTTCGTTCCACTCGTCGCCCTCATTGTCCTATTCATCGTCGTCAAGGTCACGCAATGATGATGAAAAGATATCGCCAGACACGATTCTGTTCGAGGGTTGCGATTACAATCATTGGCTCATCACCATGGAGTTCCCCAAAGATCCCAAACCCACTCCTGAGGAGATGGTCGAGACCTATGTTCAAACCCTAGCAAAAGTTGTTGGGAGGTATGGTTCTCCCTCTCTGATTTTGGTTCCTGGTGGTCTGAACTCTGAACCGAGTATCTAGTTGCTACGTATATATTTTATGCCACGGTACATTGTGTTTCCTTTTTCTGTTGTTGTTAGAGAATCGCTCTCTACTTATTGATCGATAAAAAAAGAAAATCGCTCTCTACTATGAGACAAATATATACTCGTTATTGCTATAAAATTTTAAATGTCATTTCTTCTTGATTAAACCATACTATTTGAGGTGGTCTTGGCCTGACCTCTTACTAAGTGAACTTCCTCCCATGCCAATTACGTTTTCTTATTGGCTTTGGTCCATGCTACATGAGCATAGTTTTCAAGGCATCTAAGCGATTCTCTGCGACACTGGGGCGCCTAGTCACTTAGTGGCCTTAGGCGATAAAAATTTTATAATATAAAAAACTAACTTTTGGCTAGTTTCCTATTTTTATATACCCATTCAGCATGCATATTAATCGAAAGAATAACAATTTCTCTTTATTAAGAACATTAAATTTTCTCTAAAAATGTGGCAAATCATCAAATCTAAAAGATAAAAAATCTTTTACTTATATTAGTTTCATTATTCTAAAAAATAACACTACTATAATAAGTATTTAAAAGAGCAATTTCATATCAATTAGCAGCTAAAGAATGTTACTAACTTCATATGGTAAATATTCAAGATAGAAAGTAAAATAGAAAAAACAAGGTGTTTCTGTTTTATTTAATTAGAGAGAGAGAATAGAAAAAAAGAACCTCTTTATAATTCTATTCTTTCTTTCCTCTTTCTTTTTTTTTCTTTCTTTTTCTCTCCTCAAACAAAACTCTTTGAATCTCTCTCTCTCTCTATATATATTAAAATGTATTAATACATACATACATTAATAGGATACAACAATATAAATGATATTATAAAAGACGCCCACCATGTCATTTTTGTTGCCTAGCTAGAAGGGTGCCTGGTTGCTAAATGTCAAGGAATTGGGTGAGGAATCCAACCAAGGGCACCTAGTCGCCTAGGCGGGCACCTAGGTGATGCCTTGGCAACCATGTACATGAATTCATTGATTGAAGGGAGGAATATGTGCTCACTACTTTCTGGATTTTTTCACACCATTGAAAAATGAGCTGATATTATAAATGTTATCATCCAGAAATAGCCTTGTCGTAATTGATCGTAAACCATATCAAGCAATTAAATTTCTACAGGAATGAAAATTTTCATTATTTTTCCTATTTCATGTCAGCTACATACATCTTTCAGTCCAGTTCATTTACAGAACTGGATATGTGCATTTTCATCTTCCTGATAGGGATATCTATTATTTTTTGGCAGATGGATGTGATTTTTTTTTTGATAATACAAGAAAAAATTTATTAAAAGGAAAAAGGGAAGCTCCAATACAACCACATACTCGAAACAGAAAAACAACACAAGAACCCCAAAAAGAGACAATACTTAAATAAACTCAAACATCTCCCACAAACTCTCCCCTCCTTTCTCCTACCAATTTCAGAAAAGCAACACAAGAACCCCCAAAAGAGACAATACTTAAAGAAACTCAAACATCTCCCACAAACTCTCCCCTCCTTTCTCCTACCAATTTCAGAGTCCAGACCCCTTACCCCCTCCTTACAAGTTACAACCTGAATTACTCCTCCCCAATAAAATCTTGTTCTTGCCCTTCTCCCTTGTTCTGTGTCTCATCCCCTTCCCCGGTAGTAATTTTTGCAAGACTCTCCTTTTTTCTTCTCAAACTCTTCAAAAGCTCTTCTGACAAAGGCCTTTCCACCCACAAAAAAAAAACCCAATGACTTGCCTACCTCCACCTTCCTATCAACCAAATTATCAAGATCCACACTTCTAAGTACTGCATATTGCATGCCATAATAATGTGATTAAGTGGTTTTGATCTGTTTTACTAAATCACTATATATACTTCTGTATCAAAGTTTCATCTGTAGTTCACATTACCCAACTTAAGATGAATCCTTTTGTTGCTTCCGAGTTCCAACCTGTCCTTCAATTTTCTTAATATGCCCATTGGCTCTAGCTAGAAGACAGAATGAAGTGACCTAGGTGATAGATATGGTTTTTTTTTTTTTTTATAATAGACTAATAGAGATTGGATATGGTTGTGCAATCTATTTAATTTCTTGTATCACCATTGGGGAAGTGACCCATTAGTTCAGTTGTCTAGGATGTTAGGTGCATTTTCCTAAACTGGATGTATATTTAACATGGTTACTGTTTCTCAACCGATGATCTATATTCACTGATTCTTTTAAAGAGTTCTTAGAAGTACATGGTCACTAGTTTGCCAGTTTTTGGTTTGGATGATGATGATCTCTTTTATTGGTGGACATTCCAATGGGTCTGAATTCTGACACTGATCAATAAGCTGCAATTTGTTGTATTACTGTTCCAAGGGTACCTTACGTTTATAAAGGTTTCTTTTTGATTGTGGTTATATAAGATTTCCTAGTCGCCAATCAATTGGATGATTGTTGGTGTGGCAAGATTTACATCTTTGTTACATTTCATCTATGATATTTACTTGCTGGATATTTTCGATGGAATATTTGTTTGTGAGCAAGAACATATATGGAGTTGTAAATTGGGAGAGAAGTAGGCCAATTTAGTGATGCTTTTCTATGGGTGTAGTGTGGAAGAGGCAAAGAAAAGAATGTATGCCTGTAGCACAACAACCTATACTGGCTTCCAGGCTGTGATGACTGAGGAAATGTCAGAGAAGTTTCGAGGTAAGCTTTTCTGGTAATGAGTTTATCTAGAAAGCACACAGTTTGGCTTTTCTAATATATCCTTTTTCTATATTTTTTGTTTCTTTAATTTTAATTTCTTAATCAGGTTTGCCTGGAGTTGTTTTTATTTTGCCCGATTCCTACATTGATCCGGTGAACAAGGAGTATGGAGGTATTGTTTTTCATGATATCCCCTCTTTCCTATCTGAAAAGCTGAAATGTATTTGCTTTCTAAAATTTAACCTGAATATTATTTTGATTCTAGCATGGTTTTGCATCAGTGGTTCTTTGTTAAATAGCCAACATATAATGCATCACAATTTAGGTAACTGGTATTGTTGTCTCTCGCGTAGGTACATACCTGAATACCTCGTTCATCTATGTGCCTAGGAGTGCTAACATGCTGTCTGACTCTTTGGCAAGAGCAAGGGGGTTGGGGCTGTCTATAAGGCTCTGTTTGGTTTGTGGGGTGGGGATGAGAACAAGGGAATATTCCAAAAATATTCCCTTTTCTCTTGTTTGTTTTAAGGGAAGTAGAGGGATGGGATGAGAAAAATGTGGGATGACAGATCCCAAAATCATGGAGCCGGTGGAAAAACTGAGAAACCCCGTTCGAACCCAGAAGCAGAGCAGCGGCAGCGACATCCCCTCTCAGTCACTTTCTTCTCCCCCTCGCCTCTCTTCTCTTTCTTATTCCGTGTTTTGTTTTTCGTAGCACTATTCATTGTCTTCTTGACAACGAACACAGGAAATACCAGCGGTGGTGACTAGTGCACCCCACAGCGGTGGTGACCAAAGCATTGTTCACCGTCTTCACAACACTGTTACATCTTCGCTTTCCATTGACAAACTATTGTTTGTCTTTTTCTTGGTGAAATAGAGCACCCCACAGTGGCGGTGACCAGAGCATTGTTCATTGTCTTCGCAACACTACTACATCTTTGCTTTCCGCCAATGAACTACTATCCGTCTTCCTCTTGGTGAAACAGAGCACCCCATAGCGGCTATTCGTCTACGATCATCCTCTGTTATAGAGAAAGTGCGAAGGGGGGACCACTACGCGGTGCCGGAGGACATCTTCGGAGCTTCAGTCATGGAGTTCTCTGACTCTCCCTCCATCTTCCTCTTCTCTCTTCTCCCTCATAACAGTGTTTTCCTATTATTTTCCCATATATAAAACCAAACAATGGAAAGGTAAATTTTACACTTTCCCATCCCATCCCATCCCACCCAAATCTTTCTACAAACCAAACAAAGCCTAAAGGGTTGCTCTATTCAGGTTGTATAATATCTAATGTAGAAATTGTTTTGCTTTTCCTTTTTCTATGTTAACTACAAGGTTTAAAGTATCGGAAATGGAATGTGTATTGAAGAGGCAATTTTAAGAGATGTATCGAGATACACTTTGGATACGCATAGATAAAAGGGTTGCTCTATTCCAGGCTGTATAATATGTAATGTAGAAATTGTTTTGCTTTTCCTTTTTCAATGTTAATTGCAAGGTTTAAAGTATTGGAAATGGAATGTGTATTGAAGAGGCAATTTTAAGAGATGTATCGAGATACACTTTGGATACACATAGATAAAAGAAAATTAAGATACACATGGATACACTGAGAAACTCTTAAATCTTAAAGAAACTATAATAATAATAAATGAGTTTTATATGACTATAAACGAGTTATTTAAACATAAAAAAACCATATTTCAATGATTTATATATTGGAAACTATTGAAAAAATGATGGAAGAATTAAAATGTGTGCGTACATACTCACATACCATAGTTTTTTAAAGAACCAATATAATTTGTATTAATATTTATCATTGTTTAGAAAATAGGAATGGATTGACCAGTTGGACCGGTTGAACCATGACTTAGAGAGATTTCGGCCGGTTCAGTCATGCTCCCAAAATCGGATTGGGTAAAAAAATGGCCAAAACTACCAACCTAGATAATCAAACTAGAAAGTTGATGAACCAGTCTAGAAAACCACTTGGTGTTTTGAAATTTAGCACATTAATGCAGACTCTAAAGGCCATAACTTTTCACTCAAATGTCCGATTGGAGTGATTGTGTAACTTTTCAAGATAGGTGTCTTATAAAAAATTGAAACTAAAATAAAAAAATATATGTTATAGAAGAATATAATTACATGTTTTGAATATATTATAATAATCTAAAAAGAGCGTTTAATTAAAATTTATAATACATATTAATATGCCAAGCATTGAGGGTATGGTGTGGTGGCAAGCTTGTAGTTGTTGAAAATGAATGACTAGGGTTCGAATCCCTTTGGTCATCTATTTGTGATTTTTATACGCAAATTTAGTGGCATGCCAAATTCAAATTCAAATCTGAAATTGCCTTAAATGTACTATTTAGTTCACCTTTAATGGCATGCAATTAAATGTGATAATTAAGAGTCATATAATTTAAATTTGGAGAGAGGGGAATTAAATTTGATATTTAAAAGGTGTCAAAATTAAATAAGAGAGAGAATACTATTAAATTGATATGGGCCTGTATCGGACTGATATGAACGAAAATAAATGAAACATACAAATTCTGTATGTTCCATGTATTGGATGCTCAATGTCATGTATAGAGTCATTACCTACCTGAGAGGGCTTATGCCTGAGTGAGGGGGTGTATCATGGCGTAATTGGATTAAAAATTAATTGATAAAAAATGGATTAAAAAAGTATTTTTTATGTTAGTGGGATTGATCAGCCTTTGGCTGTTTGTTATAACTTCTTTATAATGGAGAGTAGTAAATGATGCATCTTTGTACATAAATTCAATGAAATTTTAACTTGTCTATGATAAAAGGAGCCATTCGCCAATGGTGGTGGTCCCTTTTGCCTAGGGTCTTGGGAGGGGTAGATTGGATTTGGACCATACATTTGGCATTCTTTTTTTTTGCATGGAGTTGCTTCTCTCAGGCTTGAACCCATATTGTCATGCTTGTCTGCCCAAGGTTTTACCATTACACCAAGAAATGGGCACTTGAGTACTCAAAGACATGTTCTTAGCAAAAAGTATTAATACATGCCACATGAATAATGAATAGAATCAATAGATGATTTTACCTCATTTTGACCTTGCATAATGATGGGATAATTTTACCATTTTATCTGGAGATTCTCTTTGTATTTTTTGGACTGGAATACTTATGGGAGATTTTGCACTATTCGCCAAAGTTAGATACTTTCTGACCTAGGTGGGATCATAAAGCATTGGGTCTTGGCACTCTGGATACTTGATGTATTCACATGTCTAAACATATTTGTTTATGTGTATTATATTTCTGGTATTTCATTGTTTCATTTGTATTTACATCTTATTTTCCTTTCTGCAACATTCAGGAGACAAATACATTAATGGGACAATCATCCCAAGGCCTCCTCCTGTTCAATATGGAAGGTCACAAGGAAGATATGGTGACCGAAATCGAAATTATGACAGGCCAAGATATGACAGACAAAGAGACTCGATGCCAACCCAACAAGGAAACCCACCATATGATCGCCAAGGATCAATGCAGGGAGATGGAAGGAATTATGGACCCCAGCAGAACTATGCACCCCAACAAAACTATCCACCCCAACAAAACTATCAACCTCAACAAAATTATCCATCACAACAAAACTATGCACCACAACAAAACTATGGTTCAACTGGACAGGGAGAAAGAAGAGATTTTAGGCCAACAGGCAACATGGATTATGCTCCTGGAGGACAAGACAATTATCAGAGAGAGAGAAGAGATGCAATGCCTTCATATCAGAGGGATAACAACCAAGGGGCGCAAGGAAACTACTATTCTCAAGAACGTAGGGACTTACCACAAGGAGATCGAAGGGACTATGCACCTCCTGAACATAGGGACCTTAATAGGAACTTTGGACCTCAGAGTGGTGGGAATTATGGACAAGGAGCAGGTTCTGGATATGGTCAGAGTTACCCTGGGCATGGAGAGCCTCAAAATTTTTCACAAGTGGAGAGGAGGGATGATATGCAAGGGGATCAAAGAAACCATGCACCTCAGGGACAATTTGGAGTGAACCAGGTATTGCTGTTATCCTTATAATTGTTGCAAAGTCCTCAGCCACTTTTGAAGGTCAACAAACATGCCCACAGACAATAGATTCATCATGATACCACTTTACCCTTTTTGTACATTCCCTCAAGGGCATATATTCTGTTGAACAATGAATCAATAAATTTGCCAAAGATTTCTTACAAATTTTAATATAAGATGAAGAATGCTAGTGACATGGGCCTTTCATCACAATGGGACCTAGTTTTGTTCTTTTGATTTGAAGGCCCATGGTTCTAAAATTGTTTATTCAAAAAAGGACCTAGCATAAGTTCATTCATAGAGACTCTTGGGCTGTGATTGAGTAAATGGAATTTTGGGATGGCAATGGGACCTAGTTTTGTTCTTTTGATTTGAAGGCCCATGATTCTAAAATTGTTTATTTAAAAAAGGACCTAGCGTATGTTCATCCATAGAGACTCTTGGGCTGTGATTGAGTAAATGGAATTCGTGGGTGTCAATGGCATTTATTGGAACTGCTTCCACAAATTTCTAGATTCAACCTTTTCTTGCCCACTTCTTTGCTGGCACAGAATTCAGAAACTAGCAGAAATTTAATCCTTGAAATTCTTTTTGAATTGAAGCCCAAGAGGCAGCAATGGCCCATGTATAGATTCCGTAGTTGCTAAGGTGTCGAGCTGATTCATCATTGAGGGTGATTTGAGAACTGTTGTGGAATGGTTGAAGAAGGGGGATGGGGTGACATGGCACTTAGGAAGTGAATTCAGGCTGTCAGAAGACATGACGATCCAAGTTAAATGGGTTAGAAGAACTGCCAACAGTCTGGCAGATGGGTTAGCGAAACAAGGGGTACAAAGACTTTCCTTGTATTGGGCTCAATTGTAATTCTTGGGTTGGGTCAGCTTTACTGAAGCTGAGTTTTTCTTTTTTCCAGTCTCTTGTTGAAATTCTATTTTCTATTATTAATGAAATCATTTGTGTTGCTGATCAAAAAAAGGTGTCTAGCTGATTCTGGGCAACTATGGGGCGACTAGTTGCCTAGGTGGATGGTACCTAGGTCCCTAGGATTAAGAATTTGGTAACCACAAATTAAATTTTGGTTAATTCTCTAGTTTTATATATAAATCAGTATGCATATTAATTGATAAAATTATTAATTCTCTAAGAAGATTAAACTTCCTTTCAAAACATGGCATCATCGTATCTAAAAGTCAATGATATTTTAAAATATTAATTTCAATATTTTCAAAAAAGCTAAATGGAGAAATTTTATAGCAAATTAGCAACTAGAGAAAGCTATAGCTTTTAGCTAGGAAAAGAGCTAAATTTTTATATGATAAAAATTATATAGCAAGTATACTGATAAAAAAATTTATAGAGCAAGTAAAATAGAAAAAGAACAAGGGCAAAGCCAAAAAGATGGAAAAACAAAAGAAAAAGAAAATTGTTGACTTTTCTTTTCCTTTTCTCTCTTCTCAAAATCCTCGGATATTTTTAAGTTTTAATAGTAAAATTTTAAAGCAATGTAACCAAAAAAATTAAAGCAAAGTATAAATGGTATACAGAGTATAGAATAGAATGTATTAATATACATATTATTGAATAATAGTATTATCATAAAGTGCCTGATTTTTGTCACATAGGCAGGCACCTTATTGCTTGGACAGGTGTCTTGTTGCTACAAGTCTAGGTGTTCAGAGGTGCCCAACCAAAGTTGTGCCTAGTTGCCAAGATGATGCCTTGACACCTATGATAGAATCCTTTCACAAAAAGTGTAAAGGGTAGAGGAATTCCAAAATTTTATTTCCTTCACCCCTACTTCTTGCAGGTTCAAATTCTTGGGGATATCAATCACTGCTTTAGGAAGGGTAGGATTAAAAAAGATTTTGACTATTCATTTTGGGTGGGCAGGATTTTGCAATAAAGTTGGTAAGTTTAGAGAGATGGAATTTGAAGAAGCAGAATGAGTGGGTGGGGATTTTAATAGGAATGGTGAATATGATCATCTAGAAGAAAGAAGAGATGGGTTCAGAGTTTAAGGAAACAAGGATAGTATTGGGTTTACCGGTATTGAGTTTGTGAATGGGAGAGAGGAAGAATGAAGAGCTTGGATAGGGGTTAATGAAGCATTTTCAAAATGGTTGAAGTGGAAATGAGATTAGGTATTTTGACGAGTTTTTTTTTAATTTTTTTTGGGGGGGAGTGCAACAAAAGTGATCAATGAGGGGGAGTATTGAACTAATTGTCTTTTATGAGATTGTGACTGTTGGTTGGTATACTATCTTTTAATCTTGATTCGGTGTTTTTGATTTTCATATGGTGTGCTTTGCCAAGAGAATGCGGTCAAGTAAGGAAATGTTCCATCTTGGAGGGTGTTTTAACCCATTTTCTCGAAAATTTATTTCTAAATCAAAGTTATCCACTATTTAATTGGTGGCAAAAGGTTTGAGCACTTAAATCTAGGGATGGACACAAAGGGTTATATTATAAATAACAGAAATGAATGTGCTGCCCATAAAGTAACTTAATTGTGTAACTTGTTTGATATCACAACTGTAATACAAAATTTATGAGACTAACTAGTTATTGTATTATTAAGTGGGATAGTAACTAAGTTTTATTTCTTATTCCCCAAAAGTAAACCTATACATATTTTATGAGGATAATTTAATTATAGTTCTATTCCATGGGATTAGAGAAGATGATGTTATTAGAGAGAGTGATTTATCTAGAGTGGATGCAAGGTTCAAAGTATCGGAAACACAAGGTGTATCGAAAGACAATTTCAATAGGCGTATTGGGATACACTTTGGATATACATGGATACGGACTGAAAATCAAGATAGGCATAAATATGCTAGAAAACTCAAATAAATCCTAAAAAAATTGCATTAATTACAATAATTACAAGTTTTATATGATTGTAAACAAGTTATTTATTAACATGTAGACATGTAGAGATGCTCATGTGAATTAAAATTTTGGTCTACTGTTGAGATGACAGTGATTTCTATATGATTTGTTATGTTTAATGATGTTTTATTTTTTCCAATTGGTATCTTTGGTTTGGAGTGTCACCTCATCACACCCATTTTATCAAAAAAAAGCTTGTCTTTTCTATTGTAGTGAATTTTCATTTCATTTACTATAAAAAATGGGGATGGGCAACACCATTTTCAAGAAATGCAACCAATTGCATGATCTTACATGTTTAAGGTAATTAGATATTTTTTTTTCCAAATCTTTACAGGTGCTACTACTTGTTTTAACGATCCAATGGAAGGTTGAATTATGAATGTACTTTTTCTGTTGGTGTTGGTTGGCATGAACTGATATTATTGATGTGATGTAGGCCTTACCGTTCTTGCTTCATTTTTTCACAAGCTATGCAATGGCAAAGGTCTTCTTTCTTTGGCCTTGTTGACATTGACCTTGTGTCTAATCAATAGGAAAAAAAAGAAAAAGGAACAAGGGAAGGAATTATTATGCTAGATATAGCTCATCCTCTAATCCATTCATATATTCTTCTTACATACACAAATGTGTTAGTATAGAAGATATTTTTATTTATTTTTCTTTTGAAGAATGTAGCAAGGTAACCAAAGCACCATAATGATAATAAGAAAACTTTATAAAACAGTTATAAGGTGAGCAATGTTGTATGGGGTAGAGCGATGGACAGCCAAGAAACATGGCAAATAAAAGTGAATTCAACAGAAATGTGAATGCTGAAATGGATGAGTTGGAAAGCTAAGAACGAACATATTCATAGGAACATAAGAGTAGCCCCGTAAGGTGATAAGAAGGGAAATAGAGTTGTGTTGGTTTGATCATGTGCTGAGAAGACCAACTATATGACACTAGTGAGAAGTGATCTTTTGTAGGTTGAAGGGTCAAGAAGAGCTAGGGGATGAGAAAAGTTGTAATGGGTTGAAGCATTGTTTTAGAACCCAGTCTGGAGGCTGAACTAATTCCCCACTGGGTCAGTGGGTAAGTCGATCAACCATCCATGTAAACATGTCAACTTGTAGCCATTTATATAAAGAAGTTTCAAGAAAATAATTACAAAAACCCACTAACCTGTTGAATGGGTGAAGGCGGCTAAATGAATCAACCATCTAGGTTGATGGGTCATTGACCTAAACCAGGATTGACCAAGTCCTTGGTCCAACCATCTGGTCTAACCTGTTGAATGGGTGAAGGCGGCTAAATGAATGAACCATCTAGGTTGATGGGTCATTGACCTAAACCAGGATTGACCAAGTCCTTGATCCAACCATCTGGGTCAACTATAGGTTGAAAACGCCGGGTTGACGTATATAGGCTTCCCATTTAGAAAATTGGGTACATAGGTCCCACTCTGGTTCTAGAGATGTGTTTCCTAATTAAAATTAGAAAGTTGCTTTGTAACCTTTAATCACAAATTAAATCTAATTTAGTTTCCCAAAATGAAAAACCAAGCACAAGGCTTCCAAGAGGTTGAATTGGTATGGAAGATATTCTTTTAGGTGAAGTGTATTTGCTCGATTACAAATCATACCCAAGTTAGGCCTTATCTTTGGTCGCACCTCATATATCTGAGAAGCCTTTTTATTTCACATTTCAGAATGTTCTTCTAAAACCTCTACTTTCTATTGTTTAGTTTTGATGCAGGTGCGTTATTGAGAGCACTTGGTGCTCGTTTTGATGCATTTGAAGGACTGGAATACACAAACAATGATGGCGATAAGGATAAAAAGGACCTACGAAGTCAGTCCAGCTTGGTTTCAAAAACCATATACAAGCGTTTGGTTGGTACAGTCAAGTCATGCATGGGTTATGTGCCGTATCATGTTGTAATTAGCGTGTACTGAGTACTGGCTGACCTCTTGCACTCCAAGATCCAAAATATTTGAAATTTCATCTTTTGTTAAATTTCTCATTTTTTTCCAGTTTATTATATTATATGGGGATGGTATATAATTAATGCGTTGCCTTAACCTATTTATCTCCATTATCGACTTGGAATTTGCATAGGTCTGCTTGTGGGCTTCAGTTTTACTATGGTAGTGATAATATTCCAGAACAGCTCTTATATGAGGAGATGCATGGGCGGAGGCCAAATTGTCTTCTGGCAATTTGCATTTGCATAATGTTGGTAAAGTTTGGAATGAAAACTTGTAAAGCAAAAGTTCTGCCGTGTTACAAGTTTTTTACTCCATTCTCTACTTTTGCCAAGTATTTATTATTTTTCGAGCCTACTCGTGAGTCGTGAAAGTCATGACCTGTATTTGCTAAATTGTCAGCTCCTTTATTTCCTTCTCGCCAAATGTGTGTTGGCTTTTTATATTTTCAATGCTTTTTAGTATTTCTGATCTGCTAGACTATTTGTTCGATCCCTCTGCGGTTGAACTAGACCAATCCAATTCTAACTCGTATCCTTCCCATCTTCTCATGATGCGGAGGCAACTAGTTTGCCGACGCAGTAATGCACAATGAGATCAGGAGGAATTATTGCTGTAGTCACTGTTACTATCAACCCATCTTTTAATAGTACTAGTTTTGTAGACGATGAATCTTTTGACATTTCCTCTACCACAACCACCACCACCTCCTGAGACAGACTCAGACTCATCATGGGACTTATTCGACCCTACTAAACCGAGAAACCGACCAATCTAGGTGATAAAGATGTCAATCGGTTGGACAAATTATGTATAACCATATCAAACCGACCCATGTACAACCCTAGATTTGACCTTGTGCCTCCTAAATGGAGGTGGTGCCATCAACTATCTCTAACTATCTGGTGATCGATAATTGTAATTTACTTGTATGAAACTTGGACACTTGGGCAATTTAGTCAAGGTTCAAGGTATGTATCAGGCGCAATGGCGCATCAGATCATTATCTTGGGGTCGTACTGCAAGGCTTACCGCTGCCAAGATCAATGGCTTATAGCTCGAAGTTTGCCCTAAAATGGGCTTTCTTTCTTTCTTTCTTTTCTGGTAAGCCCTAAAATGGTCCTTTCTTGTGAGGAAACCTAAAAATGGGCCTTCGATTGACTAAAATATTGGCTCTAAATGGGCTGGGTTTGGCCCAAGGTAAGCGTCATAAAAGATATTTAATTTGATTAAAAAAAACTATCTGAAGTGAAATCCCTAGGACAATCCAAATGTTGGGCTCAAAATCTTATTATAACCTCAAGTTGGCCCAGAAAAAACATTAGATAGGGTTCAAACCAATATGATGAGCCCCGAGACTTCAAAACGTTTTAAAAGCATGTCCCATATACACCCCTAAATTGGCCTAAAAATTGCCTTCAAACTGCCCAAAATAGGCCAAAAAGCTCTACCCATAAATGACTAAGGGTTTGTTTGGTTTGAAGGAAAAGGAGCCCGGAATTGGAATTGGAATGGGCCATTCTGATTCTAATCATTTGATTATCCTCCCGTCCATATGGAGGAGTGGCCATTTCCGACCCCCCCAGGAATGAGATTCCCACTCCGATATTTGTATTTTTTTGACAAAGACACCCCCTTTGATTTCAATCCCTAATTGACCAAATTCTGAAGGCTTTGAGCATCTCCTTCAGCTTCCATATCTTACTCCATCCAACTGCCGCCACCCCACCAACTCCATCTCCAGGAGATAAGAACGCTGTTGACCACTCTTATTTACTTTAATGAAATTCACAATTTCTAAAAAAAAGAAAGAAAGAAAGAAAAAAAGAAAATCGAGAGGATGCCCCCCTTCCCCCAATTCAACAATTGTTAATGAATTCCGGCTATTGCATCAACCTTTGTATTTGTTGATTGTGGCACCTAACCAAAATTAGCTTCCAAACATAGCCTTTCTAATCTGATGCCATATGTGTCAAGGTCCTGTTAACTCATTTTTCAGCGAACTGACAATGTCTTTGAATCTCCCGCAAACATATTCTTTGAGGGTTGGTGTGAATGCCTATTTTAGACTAACTTGGGATTATTTTAAAACCACCTTTTTCTGGTGGATAATTTAAAATCACCTTTAGGCTAATACTGTGGCCAATTTAAATTAACTTATAAACTATTTTTTACAAATTTTAAGGGAACCTCAGGCTGATTTTTAAGTTTTAGGTTAACACAAGCCTTTTTTCGGTAATTTTGGATAATTTGAGGATCATTTTTAGACTATTTTGTGCAAATTTGAACTAACTTTGAGCACAACTTTTAAACTAATTTCGGATTCAATTTGTTTTTTTTTTTTTTAAGACAATTTCTCAATAACCTTGTGCCATTTTGATGACAGGTAGATTTCTTTTTTTTTGGGAAACTTTTAAACCAAAATTTGGACCATTATGAAGCCAATTTTAAATTAATTATTAAGCCTTTCTTTTTTGCCTTTGAGGAATTAAAAATCAGACTAGAAGATGATTTCTTGATTTATATTGTGATGTTAAGGCTACCAAAATCAAATGAGACATTTGTTGTTAATTGCAACACTAGTGATTGCCAAATGTGGACAACAAATAAATTGATCAATTAGTGTGTGTCAAAGGAAGATTGATAAAAGAAAATGAAAGTTGAATATGTTCATCATTTAGCTAATTTTGGTTCGAAGAAAAAGCAATTCAAGAAATCAGGAAAGAAGAAAGTTAAAAGCATGATAAAAGAAAACTCCTAGACAAACATAAATAATCATCAAGCATATAACTAATATAGAAGATAATATTTTGTTTCTACCGTATATAACCTGTTATTTCAAGAGTGATTGCTTGAAGTTGGTGAATAAAAAGAAAGAAGAAACTTTTGATTCCAAGAACAATTGAAGATAGTGATTTTAAGCTAACTAGGGCAAAATTTATAGTTCTTATTTTCCACCTTATGACTTAGTTGTTTACAAATACAACATCTCAAGTTTAAATTTAAAGTACCTGATTTATTAAATTACAATAATTTATTTGGTAGAGAATAGAGACTTAAACATGCTTGAAAAGTTATGAATGCATGTGCACCGAGATCAATGGGAGTATTTTGCATGTCATGCCTCCTTTTATGAAACTAAAGCCTTATGAATTAGAGCCTCTAGTGTGGTAAAACTAATTTTATGCCTTGTCAAAAATTTTGATTAGATTTATGATAGAATTTTTTATATGCCTTCAATTTAGTATATTTCACTTTCTTTTTGACTTCTTTCTTATGATTTTGTATTTTTTTTTTCAAGTTTTCTATATTTTTAGTCTTTTGCCAATCTTTGTATTATATTTATTTTATTGATTATATTTTGAACATCTTCATTTTACCCCAATGTTTTTTAACACTTCCCTATTTTTCTTTAGATGCATCTAAAATATCATTTGATACTTTTTTATATAATTAGTCATTTATAAGTCATATATCATTAATCTCTTCATCTAAGTTATATTTTGATTATTTTTCTTTTATTATTAACTTGTATAGTTTTTCTCATTTTTTATTTACATTACTAATTCTTGGACATTTATTTTTTCTCTATTTTCTTTCATTTTTTTAGTATATGCATTTACCACCATTAATTTATGTTATGTAATTAAGCTTCCCCCTAATATAACTTTCTAGTCCTTATACATCATTCCTCCTATTCTCCTAACAAGGAAAAAACGTATTTGACTTAAATTTGACCCACTTTTAAATATTACCAAATGTGCATTTCTTATTTATAAAATGTGTTTACCATTGCCATATCAAAAATCAATTACAAATTTTGAAATTGTTCTTTTGTGTTATAAATTTAGTATCTTAATGAATTTGTGAGATACATACAGGATTTGTTAATATTCACACTTATCCTAATTTCTCCACCATATCCATGCATTTTCCTAAGTGTGCCTCTGTATATATCTTATTAAAAATGTCTTTTTTAATACGCTTTGCAATATTGATACATCCTAAATTTCCAACTGCATTCTTGTCCCGCGCATATCCCTATGCATAGCTTAAAATTGGCTACCACCTACCAGTTACTCTGTGACATTAGTATGTTGATCATTATAATAACATAATTACTATGAGTTAAATGTATTAAACACGTCTGATTAAACATATCTCATGTATCAGTGGCCCTGAAAACCAATACATATCGTAGAATTGATACATTGCAATACTTTGAACGTTGCCTAAAAAGACGAAGATGCCTAAATTCAAGCATATGGAGGTTTACCAGTGAAACAAGTACTTTTGTGTGTCAAATAAGTGATCGAGCATTAATCTAAAATTCTGAATTACTTCCACACTTAAGTTTGAAAATAAGAAAGAAAAGAGTTCTAATAAAAGTCATGACAAAACCCATCACAATGACTTGGCTATGGTTCCATTTATGGAATAACCTCTTTGCTTAATTGCTCTTTTCCTTTGGCTCAACTTCCGGCTTTGTAGGAATTTTTCTGCATACTTAATTGGGTTAGAGAAGTTGAGGTAGGAAGAGTGAATGTTGTGGATGATTTAGAAAGGTATGAACAAGGACTAGGCCAAAGAAGTATGAGCATGAAATGGAATGTTAACTAGTAACCATCACAAATGTAGACACTTTATTAACAAAAAAAATGAATTTATACATGCTTTAGAGCACAAAGATTATGGTGGACTATAAATAGAGATTTAATTATACAATATGGAAGAATTATACAAAGGTGCTGGCCTGAAATTTCCACTCCTATCTGTATTGTGAAAGTTCTTTGTCTCTAGATTCAATTTCTTTGATATTGTTGACTACATCATCAACCGTTCCTGATAGGTGGTAGGTATGTTCTTCAATATATCTTATAAAGGTGTGCAGCTGTTCTCGACAAGCAGCTAGCCGTTGATTTGCACGATGCAGCTCTAGAGATAGTTCCCGAATTTTCTTATCCTTCTCATCCTGCATTAAATTACACAAATTATCTCAAACAACTTGACATGGAAATCACATGGATAGTGGACTAACATAGAAAAACAACACTATTAGAAGCTAGTGTTGCTCCTCATGCCTAAGAGGCATGCATGAAAAAAGGCAATAGTAATTTTTTTTTTTATCAATAACAGAAGCTTTTCATTAATGAACAAAAGAAAGATAAGTACAAAGGCAGGGGGAGATAAACTCTCTCAACTCCTCCAAATATTAAAAGATTACAAATAAGCCCATTCTTCCCACCCCTTGTTTGGCTAGTGCATCTGCAAAGGAATTGGCACGCCTCTTTACCCATTGTAATCTCATTGTCATATCCCAAGTCAACCATTTAAATACTCTCTTTTCATTCAGGTAACTCCACATGCTACTCTTTTCCTTTATGTTTGGCTCACAGAAGTAATCCACCATTCACTTTATGTTTGGCTCACAGAAGAGATCCTAGGTTAATATATCAGAGGATATTGATTATCAATCTAAAACCTCTTTTTACTTTGTTTCATGCTTATAATCTTTTATACTGATTCTCGCCTATGCAGTGTCTGGGGAGGACAGGAGGACAAATATAATATTATATTATATTATAACCTACTTTACCTAAATAAAATAATCCGTTTACTTAATTTGCATGCATCCTAGTTTACGCACATGCACATGCATATGCATGCACACACACACACACACACACACATACACACAACAAACTGAGTCTACTTATAAATTCTATTTTCTTTATACATTTTCAGATATGATTTATTTTTTCATAGTCTATTTGTGTATATACTTTTTAGTACATTTATATACTTTCTAATATGACTCATGTCTTTGAAATTTGTCTTGTATTTGATTTTATATTTATAATCTCTTCTACTTAAACAAAATAATGTTTTCACTTAATTTACATACATTCTAATATATCTTTCAATATAGACTAATTTATAACAAATTTCAAATGAATATTTTCCAACATACACAACTTCTTTATTAGAAATAAATGACTTGAAAATGAGAGTGAATAAAAAGAAAGAGAATTTTTGTTCATTTTTTTCGTATTAATAACTTTATTTTATTTATTTTTATTTTTGTTTATTTATTTCGGTATTGAACAAAATAAAATGGTGAAACAGGATTCATGTAACTGATCCCATAAAGTTGGGACAAGGCTTTGATGATGATGATGATGATGATGATAACTATCATTTTAGTTTGTAGATTGGCATTTTCACGTGTCATGGGTGTTATGGATGTAGATAGTAGATGCTATTCTTAGATGCAATATGTTAAGACATAGTGTAGTGCATTAGGATTATTTTGTTTAGTAAGAGAAATGCAAAGCGATATTTTCAGGTTAATAGAGATATTTGAGTGTAACCAATTAAGTAATCATGTTTTTCCAACTACCAAAAAAAAATAATCATGTTTTCCTGAATTTTGGAGAATATTATACATTAATATGTTTTCGTTTTACTTTTTTTTCAATTTTAATGTTGCATAGATGAGACGCACACCTCAATTTGAGGCCTAAGCCTCTTGACATACACATAAGGTGGATGAGGCAGGGTGGTTTGGCTTTGCTTTGCCTCACCACATTTCACAGCTACATGATAAACCAGGCATTTCCCTATTGAAAACACAAAGAAGTCATTGTTTGTAATGATTAAACATGGAGGTACTTTTGTCTTTCAAACTTCTTGTCCCATGATTAGGGAAGTGCTCCCTTATCAAAAACGGAATGCACCCAGATCACTCACCCAAAAGAATGATTGGAATTGGATGAGCCAACGACTCAATGCCTGGATACTTTATGCAACTCAAATGGTTTGGATCATCTATTCAGATAAACATATTCCTTAACTACCATCCTAAGGTTCCCAATAGCCAGAATGTCCAACACAACGTAATTAGCATGAAGTGCCGCCTACCATTGTCCAACTTCTCAAGATTTACAAGCAGACATTTTTTTTGCCAATAGAAACCAAAGGCACAGATTTCTGTTCTTTTTCTCTTTTTTCTTTGGATAAGAACAAAGAGATGTAAATATTTCATACATTATCCTATGTATTATCTGATAGGCATATACAAATTCTTTTTTTTTTCATTGCATAGTTTCATTTTATTTTTCTCTCCCTTCTTATGGTAAACTTTCAGCAGTTGTATTGTGACATTCAACAATCATGAAATACATTTCCATTTTCTATCTTATCAAGGCATACACATCTAATGGATAATAGATAATTGGATGAGCCATTTGAACAAGGCCCTTATCAAGGTACATGTATTAAGTGAAATTACATATATGGAAAGTATATGTAAAGTAAAAATAATAGGGGTGCAAATGGATTGGATCATGATCCGGTCCAAAGTCCGATCCTATTTTGTTGGATTTGGATAGCCCTATTTTTGGTTCCTCAGATCCGATATATATATATATATATATATATATATGTTATTTAATTATAAAATTTTTATATTATTTTTTTTATAAAAACATGTATATATATGATAAAAATAGTTGAAAAATACTTGTATTTTTTGTTTTTCTTTATTTAAACTGTTATATTTTCTTTTCCTTTTAATAATTTATTATTTTAAAAATGAAATCAGATCGGATCAGATTCGGATATCCGACATCCTGATTGGGTTCGAATTCAAATCGGTATTTATGAGATCCGATCGGATCTATAGTGTATCAGATCGGATTCGGATATACCCTGATTTGAATACAATCCGATCCCTTGCATCCCTAAAAATCAGTATCTTTACAAAACTAAGGATTTAGTTCAGAGATGCACAGAGACTATGTAGGTAGAGTGAGGTGTTTGATTACCTAGTCATTGGCACAGACATTAATCTACTTAATGGTCCAGTGGCCATTGTCAAAACAGATATGACAGTTTTATATTATGAGGAAAAAGAATGTCATGGTGGAAAAACTCAAAACACATGACCACTGCATTGGAGATGATGTAAGTTAGAATATGAAGTACTCGATCGATTATGAAAGAATTGGAGATGATGTAATAGATGTTTAACAAGAAAGACCTTCCTATGGCTTCTATGAGTGATCTTGGTAATACTCTCCCCAAAAAGCCCCCTCCTTGGCCTTTGTATGCTGCTGCACTAGATGATACATGGTGCTTGGTGATGATTTGGAGGAAGTATGTTTTAGATCTATTGGAGACGGGCATACTTGATGCCAACCCTGTTTCTACACCTGTTAATGATATTCATAAAATCTCAGCCACAGATAGGGAATTATTGCAAGACAAGGGAGTTAGATGTACAATTTCTCTAGAGCATAGTTGTCAAGGTGTCGCCTAGGCAACTAGGTGCCCTTGGCTTGGCGCTTCGCCCAAAAACCTTGACTTTTAGCAACTAGGCGCCCTTTTAGGCGAAATATATATCAATTATACTTTGTTTTAACATTTTACTATTGAAATTTAAAAGATCAAAGGGTTTTGAGGAGAGAAAACGAAAGAAAGAAAGAATAGATTTATAAAGAGGTTCTTTCTTTCTATTCTCTCTCTCTCTCTCTAATTAAATAAAACAGAAACTCAATCCTTGTGTTTTCTATTTTACTTTCCATCTTGAATATTTATCATATAAAGTTTATAACCTTCTTTAGCTGCTAATTGATATGAAGTTGCTCTATTAAATACTAGTATTATTTTTGAAAATAAGGAAACTAATATATGTAAAAGACTTTTATCTTTTAGATGTGATGATTTGCCACATTTTTAGAGCTTTTTTGATCAGCAACTCTGAAAATGAATTCATTAAGAAAAAATAATGAAGTACAACAAGTTGTTAAGTATACAAATAGACACCTTGTGTCTAAACCCCAAGCATTACAACTGAGCCTAAAACATAGACTGTCTTTGTACACCTTGCTTAGCAAGACCATCCACCAAACATTTTTAGAGGAAATTTAATGTTCTTAATAAATAGAATTGCTATTTTTTCAATTAATATACATGCTAAATGGTATATAAAACTAGGGAACTAGCCAAAAGTTAGTTTTTTATATTATAAAATTTTTATCGCCTAAGCGCAACTAGGTGCCCCAATATCACCCAGAATCGCCTAGACACCTTGAAAACTATGCTCCAGACTCCAAAGCCCCTCAGATTATTCACTCTTTATTCATACTCAACCTCAAGGAATCACTCTCCTACTATCGTATGTGGATGATATTCTTATCACTAGTGATGATAATGAGGGTATACTCATCTGAATAATCTTTTCGTTCATTCTTTTAAGATGAAGGATCTCGGTTCCTTTACTACTTTTTGGGCTTGGAGGTGTTTTGTTCTTCTGAGATATACTTTGTAAATCAGCACAAGTATGTTGCTGATTTGGTCAAATCGGCTCATCTCACTGATGATAAGCAAGTTCATACCCCACTTGAAGTTAATCTCAAGCTCTCCAAAGATGATGGTGAACCTCTTACAAATGCTACTTAATATTGGCAGCTTGTGGGCAGACTTATTTATCTCACAATGGCACACCTCGATATCTCTTATGCTGTCCATGTGGCCAGTCAGTTCATTTCCTCTCCTCGGCAACCACTTGAAGTTAATCTCAAGCTCTCTTCGAGGTGTTCTGTCTCATTGATTATTTTTCTCATCATCATCTTTAGACTAATTGCTTGTGCTAATGCTGATTGGGCGAGCTGCCCAGACACAAGAAGGTCCACAACTGGGTGGTATGTTTTCGTAGATGATTCTCTTGTTCCATGGAGGTGTAAGAAACAACAAACAGCCTCCAAGTCTTCCACTGAAGCAGAATATCATGCTATGTCATCCATTTGTAGTGAGATTATATGATTGAAGGCTCTCCTTCTGTCCTTCACGATCTACATATTCCAGTCTCAACTCCTACTCCCATCCATGCTAATAATGTAAGCACATCAAGATAGCCTCAAATCCTATGTTCCATGAACACAGAAAGCATATTGAGGGTGATTTCCACTTTATTCAAGATCAGTTCCTAGTGGGCTACATCTCTCTTCCTCACATCTCCTCTGGCCTTCAACTTGCAGACATCTACAATAAGGCTATTGTCCTCACCATAGATTTTTAGCTAACAAACTGATGTTCCTTCCTCAGTATCAGTTTTTTTGTATTTTTGTATTTTTTTTTTTT